TCACTGAGATGGACAATGAAAAGCTCACTCTCCCCTTTTTTCTTCTCTACTATTGGTTACCAGAAGAATTGTGCTTAAAGGCCAACAATGATCCTAAGGATCAAACCTGGAATTTGGAGTTGCTACATGACTATCTTCCCATTTCCCATCTCATTCTCACTGACTATCCTTTAGCCTCCTCTTTTCCTCTTTAGAATTGGAGTTTCTCTTTAAAGAAATAGAAAAGGTTTCTCAGAAAAAATACATAAGCTGGATTTAGCTCAGTGTTTGAAATGAAATGGGAAGATGTGAATTAATATATATGCATCTGTATACACACACAACATGCATGTGCATGAAGCCAGTAACTAACATGCTATGAGCATGTACTCTCGATAAAAAAAATATACATCAAGCCAACCCACAAATTGTCACTTGGTGTGTGACAGTCACCAAGCACCTGTATTCAATGCCCTCTCCACATGGACTTAAGATGTTTGCAAAGGACTGAACACTCATGGCTCCAATGACAACTTGCTGGTCTCTGTTTCAAATGTCAACTCTAAGCACACTCCTCATTTGTTCTTTCCCTTTGAGAACAGTTAATCCCCCTCTCAGATGAATAAGGAGAAATGGTGTATTTTCAGCTTCAGTTTTACTCTGTGTGCATTTTCACCTTAGTGCTTCACTTCAAACAGGATTTCCAACCCAGGTATGTTTCAGAGCACTCCTAATGGTTGAGCATAAAACTGAAGGAGCACATCCCCTCTCCAATTTGTCTTCTCTCTCCACCTTTACAGCCATTGCCTGTGTTCAGTGCTAATCAGTGTTGATTTTTGTGTGGATTTTGTTGTTACTATTTTTTTTAAATTTTTGTTTGTTTATGTTGTTAACACTTATATACAACTTTCTATGAGCCAAGTATTGTTCTAAGAAATATACAGACATTAATTCATTTACTACTGAAGAAAAAAAAAGAACGGAGCTCTGGTGGCGTGGTCCCTAAGGCATTTTGACTGCTAACCAAAAGGCTGGCAGTTCGAATCCACCAGCCATTCCTCAGAAGGTAGACTGGGGAATCTACTTCCATAGAGATACTGCCTCGGAAACCCAAGGAGGGGTCGCTATGAGTCTAATCGAATCGACAGCAGTGAGTTTTTTTTTTTTTTTTTTTTTTAATGAGGTGGGTAATACTCTTCCGATTTTCAGATTAGGAAATTTAGGCACAAAAAAGACAAAGGGCACCCAGCTAGTAAACTGTGGAGCTGGAACTCAAGTACAAGTAGCCTGGCTCCAGGGACTAGGCTTTTAATCCCTCCATTAAATTGCCTCTTCTAATGATCTCCTAACTAGACGTCTTATATTCCATTCTCACATGATTCCAATTCCAATCACAACCAATAAAGTCTTGAGGCTTGAGTGTACTCTCTTTGAAGCAAAAATCTCAGAATATCATTCCTTGCTTAGAACCCTTCAGTAACTCCCCTCCCCTCTAGGATAAGATTCACTTTCTTCACCTGCCATCAAAGCTTCTCAGGATATGACTTCCTCCTCCTGTTTTGTAGCTCCATGGGCTACTGCCCTCCCCAAAGTGGCGCTTCAGCCATTCAAAACCATTTCTGGTTCCTAAAGTAAACTGTTTTCCCTCACAGCTCTTTCTTCCTCTCACTAGTTTTTCATCTGCCATTCTCTTCTGGCCACTTCCTGTTCAATCTTCAGGACCAAGTGCAAAAATAATCCTTCTCACAGTCTTTGATGACCTTTCCTCCATACTCCTCCTCCAACATAACAGGGCACTTCTTCCTCTGTGCTTTCCAGCACAGTATTTTTAAATACTTCATTATTGACCCTTACTACAGCATATCACAATAACTTCATTTATGTATCTGTCTCCCCTAACGTTTTTCCTCAAAGATAAGAACCATGTCTTAGCCATCTTTGAGTAAGTGCCTACTGTGGCGGGTGATGCATGGCAGGGTGACATTAAATGCTGGTCAAAAGAACAAGAGGGCATACAAAGTAATAGAGAGCAAGCTGAGGAGAGCTGACATTTTGCACGCTTACCACACCAGCACCATTACCACCACCATCTCACTGAGAAAAGCACCAGCTTTATTAACCTCATCTTATTCTCGTGTTTCTCCATCTCCTCTGTGAGAGAGCAGGAATGAGACCAGACCAGCAATACTATTTCCAAGCTGAAGGACTGGGCTTGGTGCAATTACTCTCTTCTGAGTAGAGCAGGCCCCACTTTAAAACAGCATATCTGTTTAAGGGGCCCATCCTTTACAGTGGCTAGAAAATAACTATAAGAGAAGTCCAAGGCAGGGTTGACCAAGGATGTGCCATTAAGGTAAAGAGATTCAAAGCAGGGAAGAGGGACTTGTGGGCATGGGTGAAGGGTTTACTCTACCTCTTCCAGTGGGACTGAAGGCAACTGAAGATGCTAGCCACATGAGGCCTTCAGAGCCATGGACAGAATGCAAATGGAGCTCCAAAGAGAGTGGCCAAGTGGAGGACTCTAGGCCAGCAATGTCCAATCTCAACTTCCTTTAAAGAAGGATCAGGCTGAGCTGGCCCATTGTCTACTTGAGATGCCAGTGAGCTCATGAACCTCCAGAAAGGCCTGTCAGAGTACTTCCAGACTCAGACCATTGCCCACACTACTCCATTTGTGAGTAAGGGAGATGGAGGAGCATAAGAGTAGCCACATTTACAAGGGCATTAATGAAAAAGTAGTACTCATTGGTATTTTTTTTCTGAAAAGCAAAGATCAATCTGAAGCAGTTGAGCTGCTGCCAAAGCAGCACTGAAATGGAGGGAAACTGGCCCTAAATTTCCAACGACATTGATCCGAAATAAAAAAATCTCTTCACAATGCCTCTGAAGGCTGACATTTCTGCTTAGCCCTAGGAGTCTGGGTGCCTACCCTCAATTGCAGAGTGATGTGTTTGTGTCATTGTTGATCGTCACCTTAATGGAACTTCACTTTCTGCCTGCCACAAAACCCATATGTATTGCTCCCTACATACAGCCTGGCAGAGTTAATGAAGAGAAAGATGTTGGATTTGTGTATCACTGGCTGTCAGTTCCTAATTAAGCCTTACACAGGTGTGCTAATGTTGAACTGTAGAATGTCACATACTTGAGTTTGAAAATAAAGCACATTTCCAAACCTCTGGCAACAGCCAAATGCCTCCTGATTTCATCAAACTGAGCCACAGCCTACACCAACTCTGATGAAGTAGGTCCAGTTCCGTAAAAACAAGGAGGGTCATAGAAAGGCATGAAGTACTTCACACTTTGTTTATTCTCCTTGTGGCCTACCAAATTTGAAGGATTCAGTTGAAGACTTTGAGGCCAAAGATGATGGCAGAACCATTAGATAGAAGCTGAGTCTTTGAATGGACACTCACAACATTGAACTGTGACATAAGCAAAAAATAACATTTTAGCACACTAAACCCCTGAGACTCAGGGATGTTAGGAGCACTGGTGGTGTAGTGCCTAAGGCATTTGACTGCTAACCCAAAGGCTGGTGATTCAAACCCACCAGCCACTCCTCGGAAGGAAAGTTGGGCAATCTACTTCTGCAGTGACACCTCCTTGGAAACCCAAGGAGGGGTCGCTATGAGTCAGATCTGACTCCACGGCAGTGGGTTTGGTTTTTTTGGTTTGGTTCCCTGACATTTGAACCAAAGTGGGATGCTTTAATAACAAAAATCTCTAGCTTAGAGATCAAATAGCAGAAAACAAAAAACTTATACATAGTAAAAGTTTACCTCACCTTGAGAAAGGTGAAGTCTGTTATTTTTATCTACCAGATCATTAAGTACGAAAATAAACATATTAATAAAGGACCCTGTGGTAATTGCTATCATAAAATCAAGAGTCCTTTTGTAAGAGTCTAACAGCTCCCAGTTATGTTTTGTAAACATGAATTTTTATATATGTCTGAATCACATGTCATATTGTAGACATTTCAAATACATAAAAGAAGTCCCAAATGAGATGGGAGGAGGGTCGTAGAAAGGCATGAAGGTTTACTCCTCAGTATTTACTTCCATGAGCCTCAGCATTATTCCTCCACAGATCACAAAGCTATGCAGCTGGAAAAATAATCACTGACTGTAAAAGGAAAAGAAGCACAATCCCTGCTCAACCTCCTTTAGAGACAGAGCCATCACTGTGTTGTTGTTAGGTGCTATTGAGTTGATTCCAACTCAGAGCAACCCTAAGTACAACAGAATGAAACACTGCCCAGTCCTGCATCTGCCTTGCAACCATTGCTATGTTTGAGACCATTGTGGCAGCCACTGTGTCAATCCATCTCCCTGAGGATCTTCCTCTTTTTTGCTGACCCATTACCAAGCATGATATCCTTTTCCAGAGACTGCTCCCTCCTGATAATATGTCCAAAGTTCGTGAGACAATGTCTTGCCATCCTTACTTCTAAGGAGACTTCTGGCTGTACTTCTTCCAAGACAGATTTGTTCCTTCTTCTGGAAGCCCATGGTATATTCAATATTCTTCACCAACACCATAATTCAAAGGCATCGATTATTCTTCAGTCTTTCTTATTCATTGTCTAGCTTTCACATGCATATGAAGCAATTGAAAATATCATGCCTCCACTAGGAATGTATAAATGAAGGGGCTCCACAGAAAATAAATGCTGAACAGTATGAAAACAGAGAATTGGGAAAACTCTCAGCAGTTCATACTGTACTATCTGCCTTCCTTATTTGTGTGTTTTCTGAGTCAGCATTAGCTAAATTTTCCAGAGTGCTATCCATAAAGTACAGCCTGGCCAGGAGACGTCACTCATTTCCCCCAGTGACCTTAACAAGTCAGAAGCTTGAAAGTAGGGAAATCCGGATGTCTCAGTTATGAGGTGGAGCAGAGAGGGCCCCTTCATATTTCCAGAAGTCTCTATCAATACTGGTGATTGAGTGTCTGCCTTTGTTACTGCCAGTGGACATCCGAGGTGCTTCCTTGGCTCTGAAGGGGCTGTTAGCACAATGGCCAAGTATTTCAGCCTGGTGTTGCTCCTTGCCTCCACCTGCACCATGAGGTTCCTGGTCCAAGGCTCTCTGCGAGTAGACGGTAGGTTGGTTGGTTACTAGATTTCTTCCCTAAGGCAAGACAAGATCTTACAAACTGTCCTAAACCTACTGCGCTCTTGACTATATATTGCTGAGAGTGGGGACACCCTCAATTTCAACAGATCTAATTGGCAGTGTCGCCCTGAAAGAACTGTTTTCACCATATTCTCAGCTTCCACAAAATGATTTACATTTATCTTTACATCATTTTTGCTTTTTAGTTATGGAATATTTTGAAACAAAACATTGAGGAGGCATAATTTTTTTTAATGTTTCCTTAAATGCTAGAAAAAGAACAACACTTGGAAACTTCTTTCATTAGAGAAACAAATCACGATTGTGAAAATTTTAAAACCATCAATAAGCCTTTGGAAAAATGGGTAACTTTCACTAAATACTGGCTTATTTTGTGTTTTCGGAAGTGTCAGCATGCTTATTTTAATTTCCAGTTTACAGTACTATGGATTGAACGTCATCTTTTTAATGTGCAATAAGCAAATTAACTGAAAAAACTTTTGAAAATATAGGTTTGAAAATTACCCATAAGTTTCCCACCAAAAGAATGACTTAAAGTGATTTCTGGGATTTTGAAATGCCTAAATGGAAACCTAATTCTACACTATAGGCAAAAATTTGAAACCACAATTATTCATTACAGCACTGAGAAAATGACTATTTTGAGTACTTTAATAGGAAAATTGTGTGCTCCTATGCTAGAAGATACCCTAAGGTGCAAAATAATTTGGGAACAGAACTGAGGTCCAGAATCAATTCATATATTGTATTTAATTTCATAAGAGAAGTTGATTTTTTTTTTCAAATACCAAAACTCTTACTTTCAAATAAATTTTGTCCTCTTTGAAATCCTCTTTGGGAGACTATATACTATTCCCACAGTGCTATCATTATGTAAGCTATTTTGGAAACTGTCCTTTGCAAATGAGTCTCTCATACTCTTTGGACTATCCTCTATAATAGCAAAATTTTGCAAGGAAATTAATTTTGTGAAATTAAAAGTTATTCAGAATGAGGAATAAGATGGCTGATGAAGGTAGAAGGATGGGATAGTGTCTTAGTCATCTAGTAGTGCTATAACAGAAATATCACAAGTGAATGTCAGTAATTTATTTCTCAAAGTTTAGGAGGCTAGAAGTCCAAATTCAAATCCAAGCACCAGTTTAAGGAGAAGCCTTTCTCTGTCAGTTCTAGGGGAAGGTCTTTGCTTCTGCAGCTTCTGCTTCCTGCTTCCTTAGAGATCTCTGTGTGTCTTGGCATCTAACCTACCCCATGTCTCCTCGGCTCCCTTGCTTGTTTAATCCCTTTTATATCACAAAAGAGATTGACTGAAGATATACCCTATACTAATCCTGCCTCATTAATACAACAAACACAACCCAATCCCAAATGAAATTATAACCACAGGCATAACGGTTAAGATTTACAACACATACTTTGAGGCGCACAATCCAATCCATATCAGATAGGAACTAGCATTTTTGAGGGCCTATGATGTAGAGACACAAATTATTTATGTCTATATATGAGCTCTGGTAGCATAGTGGCTAAAGCACTTGACTGCTAACCAGAAGGCTGGCGGTTCAAACCCACCAGCCACTCCTCAGAAGGAAGGTTGGGCAATCCTACTTCCGTAGTGATACTGCCTCGGAAACCCAAGGAGGGGTTGCTATGAGTCGGGGCCAACTTGACGGCACACAACAACAACAACATGTGTGTAAATTCAAAAGATCTCAACAAGATCTTTTATAGATGAAGAAGCAGGATTAGAGAGGCCAAATTACTTTCCCAATGTCATAAAGGCAGTAAATAATAAAGCTTGGATTTGAATTCTGTTCTGATTCCTAAGCATAGACTATTTCTACTGGCTTGCTGTCTCCTAAGAAATCTTATTGTAGAGGTTACTAAGTCCCCCCTCAAACTCCAATTATTGTTGTTGTTTTTTTCCTAAATGAAATAGAAAAGCATTAAAATGACTAATATTTGTTAACTGCCTACTGTGGCCCCTGCCTCTGCTAATATAAGTTACTGAGTTTAGTTCTGACAAAAACCCTCTGAGGAAGATATACCTATCCCCATTCTACAGATGAGACTGCTGACCTGCCCAAGGTCCCACAGACAGGAAACAACAGAAGAAATATTCAAAGTTAGGTCTGTTTTCTGAGACTAGGTCTATTATTACTCAAAATAACAATTTTTAGAGTAAAAATGAGGTATGATGAGAGCATAGCAAAACTACTTTATGGTGAATTAATAAACCTTCTCTTCAGACAATTCCCAAAGCAGCAGCCATAGAGTTTTGTGAATAGCAAGCTCATGAACTAGATGAGCCAAACTCCAGGACAAGTGGTATATTAGGAGAGTTAGCTCTAGCTGTGTGTGTGTGCACACACGCACACACGCATGCATTGTGTATGTGTGCGTGCTTAACGTTACTTCATAACACAGTAGGAGACTGAACAGTAGCATAGTTAAGAACTAGGGTTTTAGAGTCAGGTATACTGGGACTTGTGCCCTAATCTGCCACCTAGTATCTCTATGTCTTTGGGCTTAGGAATTTACTTAATCTCCATAAGCCTCATTTTTCTGATAAAAGAGACAATGTCTGGCACATAGTAACACAAACAGATGATCAATGTTGGTATTAATATTAGTATCAACATCAGTACTGATACAGATATTAGTGTTCATGCATACAGTCATGAAAGGATGCTCTTTCACCCCAGTCACACACATTCATGTTGGGGTGTTGACTCTGGTTTCTCTTGGTAAGAATAGGATCTGGAAGCAAACAAGGCCATCCTCAAATACTATACTTCATAGACATATCCCTTCCCTCAACTCCCTGCTCCAGAGCACAGCATGGTTGTACAAAGGACTTAGAAATGCTTCCTCCCATGTTTGCAGGAAGACACTTCCTTTAAACACTAAGCTAGAAAATGGTCAAAGCACTTGACTGGGCATCTTATGCACAGAGTTGTGTATAAGCAATTACTTTGAAGACTGAAATGCCCTTTCGCAGAATTTCATGAAGGGAGGCCAATAGGAATAATGTACCTGAATGCAATGCAACTTAGCAATTTCATACAAGTCTATAAATCGCAGAACCCAAAGGGAATGGGTCAAGAGAATTCCAAAATCCATTAGGTTTTGAGTAAATACATAATTCACATCTTAACTATTCAACTGGGTAGACTCCCCAGCAGATAAATCATTGGGAGACTAAAACCAAAATGCTTTGAAGATAACATAATGATATTTTACCTATGATTTATTGAGCACCTACTATATGGTAGACACTATGCTAAGCACTTTTATTAGAATTAACTAATTTAATTCTCACTACTCTATGAAGTATGGGAAGGAGCTCTGGTGGCATAGTGCCTAAGGCATTTGACTGCTAACCAGAAGGCTGGTGGTTCAAACCCATCACCCCCTCCTTGGAAGGAAGGTTGGGCAATCTACTTCTGTAGTGATATTGCTTCGGAAACTCAAGGAAGGGTCACCAAATTGGATCTGACTCGACGGCAGTGAGTTTAGTTTGTTGTTTTTTTTTTTTTTTGGTTCTATGAAGTATATAGTTATTCTTTCAATTTTTGAATTTAGTTTGTTTTTTTGGTTCTATGAAGTATATAGTTATTCTTTCAATTTTATAAATAAGGAATTGAAGTATGAAGAGATGAAGTAAATAGCCTAAGGTCACAGATATATCTAGCATCGTATCTTAGATTCAAGGCCTGCTCTGCCTCTACAACTCTACTCTCCTTTCTTTGGTTTCTGACATAGATCTAAGTCAGCACAAGATGTACTCCCCACTCCTCCAGGAACTTCTGAGCAAGCCTGCCCCCCAATGGTCAGAGAAGACCTGGAATTGAGAGACCTCACATTCTCTTAGAAATTAAGGTGCAATATTTTCAGCCCATCTCAGAAATAATGGTGTCCCTAACTCACATTAGGAGTCCCTAGTAACTGCTAACCAGAAGGCTGGCGGTTCAAACCTGCCAGCCACTCCTCGGAAGGAAGATGGGGCAATCTACTTCCATAGTGATACTGCCTCAGAAACCAAAGGAGGGGTCGCTATGAGTCGAGTCCGACTTAATGGCACACAACAACAACAACAGTAGGCACAAATAGTTAAGTGCAAAACTAGTAGCTGCAAGGTTGGTGGTTCAAACCCACTCAGAGGTACTTTGGAAAGATCATGCCCTTGAAAACCCTATAGAGCAGTTCTACTCTGCACACACAGGGTCACCATGAGTTAGAATCAACTTGATGACAACTAACAACAACAAAAATTCACAGTGATTTGGAGTATTACTATTCTAATTAACCAGAACCACGACTTCTATCGTAAAGTCTCATACCCATCATTTTATAGACTCCAGAAAGTCTTGCAGCAACTGTATCACCTAGACCCACCCAAGAAACTTACATCCAAAGCCCCTACATGATAAACAAGGCTCCTTAATGCAGTAGGATAGGATGAACCACCATTTGGTGAGATTTGCAGTTTGCACCAGAGCAAGCAGCCATCTAACCCAACAGGCTGTCTTCTGGGAAATGCCCAACCTGTGCCCTGTTATTTCTAGACCTACTCCAAACCATACATACCTCACAAATGCATCAAGACATTAATGTTCTGCTAGGAAGGAGACCCTATGGGTAGGGACAAGGACAGCAGCACACTGAGGATCTATGATTCCTTTGCAGAAATTTCCATCGCAGGACCATGCAGAATTATGGGGACCAATCTTGTGGGGAGAAAGGCAAAGGAACAGCTGAATTTCACAGAAGCCAAGGAGGCATGTAGGCTACTGGGACTAACTCTGGCCAGCAAAACCCAGGTTGAAACAGCACGGAAGTTTGGCTTTGAGACTTGCAGGTGAGAAATGGCTGGCTCCGGTAGCAATGCTGGCTCTTCTGGCTCTGATTCTTGTTCAACAAGATAGTGACTTCTAATCATTTCTCCACTCAACTAATGTGCATTCTGTTACAGCTATGGATGGGTTGAAGATGGGTCCTCAGTGGTCATCCCTCGGATTGTCTCAAACCCCAAGTGTGGGAAGAATGGGGTTGGTGTCCTGGCTTGGAAAGTTTCACCTCACCAAAGGTTCAGGGCCTATTGTCACAACTCGTCTGGTGAGTCAGATCCACTTGGAATGTTTTCTCTGGGTATCTCCAGCTCTGTGACCTGTCTGGAAAGAGCCATTCTGAGTGGCAGCAGAAGCAATCATGTTGACAGTCCTCTAATCCTCCCAAGACTACCTTTTTGACCAGGCTAAAACTCATTGCTGTCAACTCATGGCAACCCCATGTGTTACTGAATAGAACTGCTCCCTAAGGTGTTCTTGGCTGTAATCTTCTTATGGAAGCAGATCACAGGCCTTTCTTCTGCAGTGCTGCTGAGTGGGTTCACACTGCCAACTTTGGTTGGTAGCCGAGTACAAACCGTTTGCATCATCCATGAACCTACCTGACCAGTCTAGAGGTCGCAGAATTAGGGAAAATCTGACTCAATGGCAACATAGGGAGAGGGCATCCCAGAAAATTCCATCTCCATCCCACCCCTCATTCACCCACCACCCATCCTATAAGATAAACAGGAAGAAGGGAAGGACACAAATGTGTACAGTGCATCCATATGGAGAAAGCAATGTACTGGGAAATTTGCAAGTGTTATCTTATTGAATCCTGACAACTTCCCTATGAGGTAGCTGAACTGTTTCATTTTGCAGATAAAGAAACTCAGCTCTGGGGACTTAAGTATATGTGTCTAAGGTCTCATTACTGTAACAGTGCAAACTCAGGATTAACTCTGAAGCCATGTTTTTTCCCACATCCCTTTACAGTACAGGAAATTCAGATGATACATTTGACATTTTTAAGAATAAGATACAAACTCCCCTTTTTAGGAGGGAGAAACTGAAGCCTAGAGAGTAGAAGTGATTTTCTTGAGGTCAGGCAGTTGCCTCTTTAATCTTGCTTGCAGACCTTGTCTGGCTTAGCCCAGGTGCTTTGTGTAAATAATTTTTCAGAAAATTTTTCTTTTACTAAAATGTTACTAGTTCTGTTTACAATATAAATCTTTGCCTGATTTATTATTATTCATACATTCTATAAACCTGACCTTCTAAAAGTCAGATTGCTGAGTGGTTATATACAAGATAGACTTCAGAATCATTCTCCAAGAGATAAATGTATACCAAGATAAATGTATACCAGCCAACATTAGCAAAAAACACGTTAAGGAAAGGCAACACAGGTTCCAAGCAGTTCTCTCAACCAGGGGGCTTTGGCATAGGAAGGGCACTTGGAGATGCGTTGTCTCATTCCCTCACTTCACAGATGAAATAACTGTAGCTCAGAATGGGGGTTTGGCTTGCCCAATGTCCCAAAGGTGGTCAGTGACAAAGCCAATTCTGGAATATAGGGTTTCTTCTGATGGGTTTTTTTTACCATCTCTCTTCTCTCCTCTGCCATGTTCGGCCTATAGTCACCTTTGGCTGGAGAATTGGTGGTTCACCTGCCCGCTTATTACCATAGCCAGCCCACGCCTGTCCAATAGCCTTGCCTGTTAAATGCCTAGCCTTCCTGTCAGTTGTCAGTGTGATGATATGATACCCAGCCTTATGGACTAAACCAAAAGGAGCAAGAGGAAGAGAACTTGGATTTGTCTATTTCCTTATGGTGTCATTTAACCTGTACTCTCATTCCCTTCATTCTTGTATACTGAATGTTAAGTCTAGAGTCTTGATTTGATTCATGTTCAGTATTTTTGGCAAGAATACCTCATAGATGATATTGCATACTTCAAATCACATCACAACAGAGGCACATAATGTCAGGATGTCTCCTTTATCAATTATGCTAAGTCTGATCTTTTAATTAAAATATCTCCAATGAAATTATAAAGATTTGTTTTCCCCTTTGCAATTAGTAACTAATCTATACCATGATATTTCGGCACCATGCAAGTATCCTGATCCCTAACAGCCTAATGATTTAAAAAACTATTTAATGATTTAAGAAACCACTGATGATCCTTGTCAGAATCAGCTATTATAGGGGGGTAAGAGGGGCTGCAAAATGGTGATAATTCTAAATCTATCTTTCCTAGTGCATTTATTAGCTGTCATTCTTCAATAAAACATCAATCTCTTTCTCTCTCTCATCTTCTTCCTCCCCTTTGTACTACCAAGGACTCATGGCATTTTACTTATTCAATGTGTTCCAATTTCATAATTTTGATTACAGTATCCCTTGGTTGCTCAAATTACCCAAGTTTGACCAATGGGAGTTCCTCTATTTCACTCTTGTGTCTTTTTTTTTCCCACTACTGTTTCCCACTTTCCTACTTTCTGGAATAATAACACATCCCAGGCTCACTTTGTACTTTCTCTACCCTAGCTAGGGAATCAGCCATTTCTCCTTTTAATGGAGAATGGAAATTCGAAACCAAGATTGGGATCCTCAATCTCATTATTACTATAATTTTCATTGCTTCTCAGCTCATTTTAGTGGACAGCTAAGAAAGATTTATATACATTTAATTATGTGCTTATATTGTTATTTCCAACTAAATTTAAGAATTCAAGTTTTTTGCTTAGTCCACTTTGTTTCCTTGTTTTATATTTGTACCTCTTTTCTCTTACATGGGGAATCTTTGTTCCCAGTTAAATATGGATATATCTTCTTATCCTATAGTAATTTCAAAAATTACCAAATCAACATTAGAATAATAACCTTACTGAGTGAAATTTAAATTTGTTTGCCACGTTTTTTTTTTTTTTTGTTGTTGTTCTTAACAGATATTCCTCTAAGGATACACAGTCGGAGAAATGAGTGCAAAAGTGACTTGAAGAAATTCACTACTCTGTGTGGTTATATAATCATGTTGAAATATATTAGGTTCATTTGCTTCTGTTTGTGATTCATTTTAGGACTTGAATTTTCTCCTAGTTTTATTTTCTTTAATAGGTAAAACAATTACATGACTAAAGGATAAAAAAAATCTATTTTAAAAATATACTAAGTCTCACTCCCATTCTTTCCACCCTACTCCCACTTATTCATTTCTGATTTATTCTTTTGTGTTGCTTTTTGCATTTTGTGTGTTTATGTGTGTATGTGTGATCTTCTTTTCCTTTATTTCTTACCAAAAGCCAGCATACCGTATACACTACTCTGTGCATGGTTTTTTCACTTAATTTCTAGAAGTAACTCCATATCAGTACATGAAGATTTTTCTTACTCATTTTTATGGCTGCATAGTGCTCCATTATGTGGCTGTACCACAGTTTATTCAATGAGCTCTTTTGGGGTTATTTCTAATCCTTTTCTAATCATGCTGAGTTGAGTAACCTTGAAAATATGTTGCTCCATATTTATGAAGATATATGTTCAGGATAGAAACCTAGAGCCCAAAATGTATGTGTGTGCATGTTTGCCATATTTCTGAGGATCAGAGTTACTCTAATCTTCATCCTAATGCTAATCCTAACCCTTACTCTAATTTTTTTTTTTTTTTTTTGCTATCTTTGTGATATTTGGGAATCAGAGTACCCTAATTCCATCCCAACCCTTATCTTAACCTTACGCTCATTTCTTTCTTTATTGCTATCTCCATGAGGTTTGGAGATCAGACCAAAGTGCTTTTAATGCTCTCGTACATAATGCTGTTTGAATACTCATCCCCTTCATCACCTGGCTAACTCCTACACTTTATCCAAGTGTCACAGAGGTGAAGTAATCTAATTTTTACAGATCTATTATGATCAGACACTCTTCTAGGCATAGACATTTATCTCATTAATCCTCGGGAAGATAAAACAAAGGACCCCTGGTGGTGCACTCACCAAATGCTCAATCCTTAACTGAAAGATCGGAGGTTTGAACCCCTAGCCACTCCACAGGAGAAAGATGTAGTAGTCTGCTTCTTTAAAGATTACAGCCTTGAAAACCCAATGGGAGAGTTCCAGTCTGTCCTATATGGTCACTATGAGTCAGAATTGAATTGACACTATGGCAATGGGTTAAATAAAATAAATGTAGCATTTCTACTATCCTATAATGGTAACTGATACTTAGTGTGTAATTTACGGCACTCTGGTGGTGTAGAGCCTAAGGCATTTGACTACTAACCAGAAGGCTTGCAGTTCTAACCCACTAGCCACCCCACAGAAGGAAGACTGTAAGAATCGTACTTCTATAAGGATTCACTGCCTCAGAAACCCAAGAGGGGTCACTATGAGTCAGAATCGACTGAATGGTAGTAAGTTTGGCTTGGTTTGAGTTTACTGGCATAGTGGATAAGGCATTGGCTGCTAAGCAGAAGGTTAGTGGTTCAAACCCATCAGCTGCTCTGTGGAAGGAAGATGGGGCAATTTTTTTTTTAAGTGTATTTCATTTAAATACAATTTATATACAGTGAAATAGACAAAACTAAAGTGACATGGGTCAATGCACTTTTTTTTTTTTTTTTTTTTTTTTTTTTTTTTTTTTTTTTTTTGGCAGTGTTCCCTCTCCTCCCCTCCCACCCCTGGCAACCAACAAAGAGCCCTCCATATATAAACATTTCCTTGACCCTCCACAACAATGAACTAATACTATATTTGTCCTTCTGTGATTGACTTATTTCACTCAGCATAAAGTCCTCCAAGCTCATCCATATTATGCGGTGTTTTGCAGACTCTACGTTATTCTTTAGTGTTGCATAGCATTCCATTATGTGTATGTAGCACAGTTTGGTCATCAACTCTTCTGCGTTAAATCTTAGAGGTAAGTCCCTTGCCAGATATGTAATTATCAGCAAATATGAATTGGTTGCTGTCATTTTTGTTATGTGCTTTTTCGTGGTGTCGATTTCTTTGTTCCATATAATTTTCTACGCTGAGCTCGTTTTCTTTATGAATCGTGTTATCACTTCCTTCATTGCTATTGTTTTAGTATTTGCTGAATATTTATGCTGCTCCTCTTTTTTGATGTGAAGGTTTATCGTTTTTCTTTGAGGTTACCTTGTGATTTACAGTTTTCTTCCCATGTTTAGAACAGTCCGTTCGATCTTGTAGTTGTCTTAACTTCCCCACCATCTAGAAGTTCTGAAATGACACAGTTTTTTTTTCCCTCTTTTTGACTTATAG